TGAAACCAGTGTACTATACGAGTTGATTAAAAAAAATTATATATGAAGATATAAAAAGTAAGTATTTTTTTAAAGAAAACATTAAATAGCAAAGTTTAAACATTAAGTATTTTTTAAAATAAAATTTCAAAATATATACAAACAAAACAATGATTAAATAAATAATTCAATTTATACAAATAAAACAAACTATTGAAAAATAATTATATTTTCACCATATAACCTTTTTTTTAGTTTGTCAATAAAAAACAACAAAATTTGATTTTTTCTATATAGATCATTTTGCCTAAAATGACAATGAATTTTAAAAGAAACATGTCAATTTTGAATTATATATGTTGAAGGAAAAACATATTAAATTTAAAAATATAAGGAAACAAATTAATGACACATTAATTATTTTATATAACCTAAAAATTAGATAGTTAATTAAGAAAATAAAAAATTACCATAAAATGACAAATGAAAATTAATATCTAAAAATTAAGGGATAATGACTTAAAAGGGTAATATATTATTTGATTTGTACACATTTAGTCATTGACTTTTTTTTTCGTCCATATTTACCCCTTCAACTTGTTAATCTGTACACATTTAGTCCTTATGACCGGCTACTCCAAGTTAGCCGGTAAAAATGACTTAATAGGGTAATATATTTCTCATTTTGTACACATTTAGTCCTTAATATTATTGTACACAAAATAAGTCATTTTTGTTTTTGTACTCATTCAGTACTTATGAATGATTTCTTCACGTTTTTCTCACGATATCTTATGTGGGATAGCCATATAGTGGTGAGATAGGTTGAGGTGGTCCTGCTATATGTTGTAGGCCAAGATACCTGGTGCGGGTCGGTTGTAAGCCGTAGGCACAGAGGCTCAAGAAGAGCGGTTGGGTTAAGGCGGCATGCCGACAAACCCTGGGTATTCCGGTCTGATGACTGATTGGACATATTGCATGTTGGCATTCCAGTCCGATGACTGATTAGGCCAAGGTATTCAAATCTGATGAGTGTGAGCCCGTTATGCATGATAATACGTTTGTTGTATCGGGTATTTTAGGGTAAACTCACTAAACTTTGTGCTTACCCAGTTGTTTATATTTTCAGGTTCTATCATTGATCGTGGGAAGGCGAAGGCATGACTGTACACACTCATCAACAATAATGAGGATTCCACGTTTCTTATATTACTCTGATTTTCGATAAATGTATTTTGGAATAATTTTTTTTTCTTAATAATGAATTTATAAGCAAATCTGAACCGATTTCTTGACAAAGCTTCAGTTTTTTAAAGAATAAAACCCCAAAAACGATTTTATGTTCGATTTTTGAAGTGAAAACTTAATTTCCAGAAAGGAAATCAAAGATTTCTGAGTGTGTGTTCATGTTTATCTTTTTTTTAGTGTGTGTTCGTATTCATCTTTTTCTGTGTTCGTGTTCATCTTTTCAGATTTTGATTTTTAAATAATAAACATAATAACACACACAAACATACACATAAGATCTGGGTATGCATTCTTGAAAACTGAATGAAGATATATGAAGATCTGAAAATCGAATGAATATATCTGAAGATCTGAAAATCGATGTGTGTGTTCTTGAACAAAAATCATGTGTGTGTTGTTGAACAATGTGTGTCTTAAACAAAAATCATGTTTTGATCTGATTCGAGTTCCATTTGTGAAAATGAGACGTTACACATAAACATCAACAACCCCCCACACTTCATCAATGATTGTCCCACATTCATAAGTACTGAATGAGTATAAAAACAAAAATGACTTATTTTGAAACAAAAAAATATTAATGACTAAATGTGTACAAAAATATTAAGGACTAAATGTGTACAAAATGAGAAATATATTACCCTATTAAGTCATTTTTCCCAGCTAACCTGGAGTAACCAGTCATAAGGACTGAATGTGTACATTTTAACAAGTTGAAGG